AAATTGGGAGGTATAAGGACGAGCTCGAATTCGATGTGGCACCGATGCAAGCTGCCCATATACTGCTTGGGAGGCCCTGGCAATTCGACAGGGGAGTTTGCCATTTTGGAGATACCAACCAATACACAGTTCGTCATCTCGGTAAGCAGTATACACTGCGGCCAATGTCGCCGGAAGAAGTCCGAGCGGATCGAAGGCAGATGGAGGCGAATCAGCGCCGTTCGAAGAAGGAAGTTCTGATGGAAGGATCCGAGGACCCTCGAGGAAGCAACAACGTGCTTCGTAAGCTGATGCTTACGGGATACAAGAAGTTCAGGGCTCCTCGTCGGCGACGACCCTGTCCATCGGCGGCGAAACAGAGCAGGAGAGAGGTGGAATTGGGTAGAGCGATCCGTGACGAGTCGAGCTTCGCCAAAACTGAGGATATGCTCCAAATCTCCCCAGGAAGCTTGACGACGCCTGCAATTGGGACGAGACTACCTGAGTCACTGGATCCGATTCGACCCAAGAGTGCTCTGGAAACGGCGCAAACGATTCGACCCAAACGGCTGATGCCGAACCCATCGTCATCACCCCAGGAAGCTGTACGAATGGATCAATTCGACTGAAGGTGTTTGAATTCGAAACCCCCAAATCTGATTTACCCCTCCTGGGTTCGACGAGTTCAAATGACGACAGTGGCGGGAAATTGGGAAGTCACGATTCGAAGGCAAATTGAATGATTCGAAGGTCAACACTGGTCCCAAACTTCAATTCGAAGTCAGGCGAATCTAATGGTGGCCACGAATCGTGTTTTAGATCCCTGAAGGAGATAGCCCCAATTTCGAAGCTGAAGAACAACGCTAAGGTTGGCCAGAACTTTCAGTTCGAGCTGCCATTTTACGACCCAATTTGGGAACGATTCTGTGATGCTTACGAGGCACGAAAGGCCAAAGCTTTGAGGTCAAAGCTTTTTTATGGGGGAGGGACTGATATGATCTCAATTTGGGGCTTCAAACGATTGGAATTGATCGACCATGGAGGCAAGCTAGGCACGTTTAAGAACGTTGGTTTTTGTCTAAGTGTTTATGACTGTTTCAGGTACCCACTTTGGACGAGCATAAGTCTACATTGGTGTGATAGAAATTTGAGTTCTTGGGTTGGTGATGGACAAGAAGAGCTGCTGAATCAATCTGTATGCTTTGGAGTTCAAGGAGAAGACGAGAGGTTGGGTTTCCAAGGCGACCAAAATGCTATCTCAACACTGGAGGAACTGCTAGATTTTTCTAAGTATGGAAACCGTGTTGGGAAGGGATCTTTGAGGCTCGGGTCGAGGAAGATGAGAATGCGTCGAGCCTCCAACTTCACACCACACGAAAGCAGGTTTCTTCTAGTTTATCGACAAGGTGTTGGCTGATCAAAATGATGGCTACAAGGGCTCGAACGAGAGGGCTCAAGAGTGCTTCGAGACTGAAAATGCTGCCAGGAAGAATAAATAATCAGAATCCTAGTCGGATTAGGATTAGTAGACAGTTAGCTTAGTTTGGTTTCTACGTCTTGTTTTGATTCCTTTTCCAAGTAAAATTGTAATAGAACTTCATTAAACGTTGTTAGGAGTTGCTAGGTCTATTTAAGTAGAGTTGATTCGTTGTAATAGTCAGTTTATGATCAATCGAATACAAAATAGAGCTTTGGTTCATCTCGCTAGTGGCGTGAGGAATTGAGTTGGATTGCTTGGTTGAGTCTAAGCAATCGTGAGCTTGTATCGATCAGTTCATCACCCTGATCGTGGCCAAGCATCTACCTATACTTTTCGAGCCTCTTTCCCTTATGAAAGTTGCACGGAAGTTTCCATCCAAGTCACAAAACCACCCTGTTTTGTGAAAGGTTCTCGATTGAGACTTCAATCCGAGGTTGAGGATCTCTTTGCTGCGTTGCTTTGATCACAAACCCTGCTTTGGGGTTTATCAACTACTTTCGGTATTTACTGCAAATCTCGTATTAAGCTCGTTTTACAATTTTAAGGATAAAAACACCCGCAACTAACTAATCTCTCATTTTAATACCAGAAACAATTAAACAAGCCAAACTGACCATTTAAAGTCATCAAAATCTTGAAGATAAATAAAACATATTTTTACTGATATTTTTCGTAAAATTCACAGTTATGCAGTTTTAACTTGGAAACTATTCTCAAGTGAAATCTTCTGATAAATCTGTTCCAATATCATTTTAGACAAACAGAAATCTCTTTGATCAGTTTTAAACTCAATAGACCAAACTATCCATTTTTATGGTGAAACTTGTCAAATATCGATATGTACACCGTAAAATCCATAACAATCAAGAATAATCCCCAAATCATCATATCAACCAAGGTTCAAAAAAGCGCTAGGCGTAAGGCAGGCGCTCGGCTCCTGACTTGTGACTTGCCCGATTAGGCGTAGCATAGGCGCGCCTAGGCGTTCAGAGCAGAAATGAAAAAAACTCTCAAATATTTCATGTTTCCTGGAATACTTCATATGATCCAAGTGCATATAAAATTAGCAATGCCTAGTTCTTAAATCTTAACAGTAAACACTTAACATAACAAATAACAAGCAAATAGTGATCACTTCCTAGAATCACAAGTTCTTAAAATGTCGAAATACTAAACAATAGCCAATAAGTTCATAGGAAAATGTTCATTCTTCATCATCCAAGTAGGCCCGTCCAGCCACCACTTCATCTTCATCATCCTCAAAAGCAATCTCCTCACCATCCTCCTCCTCTTCCTCCTCTTCAGACTCGAATTCTTCATCATGGAGCTCTCTCACTCGTGCACTTCTGCGAAGCTCACTGTGTTCACCCGCCATTGCATCTGTAACAGTACTTGAGGGTGCACAATATGATTCCTCATCCTCATCCACGAATACATACATAGCATGGTCATCCCCTCCCTCAAATAGGAAGCCTTGTGCTTCAGTTACATCAGTACTTAAGAGAATATCAATGTTTTTCTTTTCCTTTATCTTCTTCTTCTTGGACAACAACCTTGAGTTGAATTGTATGTACACCAATTGATTGAGACGATCTGTTGTAAGTCTATTCCTTCTCTTGGTATGTATCTACAAGTACAAAATTGCATTGCAAGACATTGAGAATATGAAATATTCAAATATGAGTAATTGAATATAGTATAGATTAAGATTCAAATACTTACCGACTCAAAAGTACTCCAGTTTCTCTCACAGCCAGAAGAACTTGAGGTCAATGAAAGAATCCTCATAGCCATTTTTTGTAAATTTGGTGTGTCAACTCCATACATTCTCCACCAAGCAACTAGGAAATATATTGTTAATTTCGTACTAAATTAGAGCCATGAAATAACAAGAAAAGAAGTCAAATATATGAAGTAGCAGTGTAGTACTAACCAGGATTATAATCGAAGTTTTGACAAGTCCTTGCAAGTTTCTTCCCAAAGGCGCCTTCTCTCTTTTGAAACTTCTGAAATTCATAATTCACAACCTGATCTTGCTTGTCATCATCGCCACTGTAAAATGTCTCAACACAATCCATGAATGATGTGGTGATGTTTCCATCATCAAATATGGAATCATCAACATAACTGTAGTGTGGATTCAACATATACGCAGTGCAATGCAATGGAGCATCAAGTCTCCCCTTCATCTTCTTGTCAACAATAGCCATAACTTCTTTGTAGCGAATCTCCACGTTACTAAATGCCTCTTTAATCTCCCTCTTTGCCTTCACAATTTCACCATAAACAAACCCCATAGATGGTCTCACATCACCATCAACCAAACGAAGAACTTTTACTAATGGTTCAAAAACCCTCAAGCAAAGGTGTACACCTTTCCAAAATGATGCATTCAACACCGTTGTTGTTGCTTCCTTTCCCTTCTTTGTTTGTGCATCTTTCAAGCTCTCCCACTTCCTATCCACCACCATCTTCCTAAGTGCATCCTTTTTATCCATCAAACTTTGTAATGTGAGATATTGAGAAGCAAATCGGGTTACTCCTGGTCTTATGATTTCTCTCTTCTTAGTGAAGAACCTCATGCATTCCAATGTACGATGATGCCCATAAATGAAGATAGTGAAACTTTTAGCTTGGTCAATTACCTTCTTGAACTTTGGCAAGTTGCCAATTCCTTGAAGCATCAAGTTGATGGTGTGAGTTGCACAGGAACTCCAAAAAATATTTGGTCTTTTCTCCAACAAGAGCTTCTTTGCTCCCATGTTATTGGAAGCATTGTCCGTCACAACTTGCACCACATGTTCTGGACCTAACTCCTCAATTGTTTTGTCAACTAGGTTGAAGATGACTTCACTTGTGTGTGACACATCCGATGTGTACTTTGACTTGATGAAGCTTGTTCCCTCAGCACAATGTGTGACCATGTTCATTATGCTTCTTCTCTTCGTGTCTGTCCATGCATCGGTCATAATGGAGCAACCGTTCCTCATCTTCTCATCATCACGATCACTGAGCAAGCTTTTTGTTCTTGTATATTCTGATTTCAACAAAGGCTCTCGAAGATCATATTGAGTAGGAGGCACAAATCCCGGGCCAAACTGACCAATAGCCTCACACATTTGCTTGAACTCATCATTATCAATTGAATTGAACGGTATAGCTGTAAAATAAAAGCACAAGAAGAAATTTAAATTAATTTTTTTAGGTTGCAAACAAAACATCATAGAAAAATAGATAAAAAAAAGTGCATATTGCTTACCATGTGTATACACCCATTTTGCAACATATTGTTGAACTTGAAGTGTTCTCTCTTCGAAAAGTGCTTTATTTAACTTCTGCTGATGAAGTGTTGCACCTGAAGACAACTTAGGATCAATGGAACGTGCCCACTTATCCATAAGTCCTAACTTGTGAGGTTCTGAACTACCAACACAAGTCATTTCTTCATCCTGTTGACCAGAGGAAACAATTACATCATCTCTCAACTCTTGTTCACGGAGAATCTTTTCTTTCTTCTTTTTTGATGTATTCTCAAAGGCTTTCAAGCATGCTTCTTTAGCTTCTGGTGGTGCTTTCTTGCATTTAAGCACCTTACTTGAATCTTGGGCAATATGATGCTTGAAGCGATGGATACCTCCGGTACTCTCATGGCCACAAAAATTACACCGCACTTTCTCCTTGTTATTGGGATCCACCAATCTTCCATACTCCCAACCTATATCACCAGAATTCCTTTTAAAAATATTGGCATTCTCTTCATTTGTCACGCCCGCTGCCGAACCACCAGCATCATCCATCATAGAGATAAAAGTGTAGAATCACCACCTGTCCTAAATCAGAAAAGGGAACAATTAATTAACCTAGAATCATAACCTTATCTCTTGTCGTCTTGCAAAGAATTAATTAAACTTTATTCCCTAAATTAAACAATCCTTGAACTAAGAATGACTAATAAACTATAGAATAGAAAGTAATAGACACACAATAAACTAATCATGTCCCACTCATTCCATTCTTTCATCATTTAACGAGCTTCTTTGGTGCAAAAGTAGGAAGAAAAAAACAAGGTTTTTTGTGTTTTTGGCGTCCACCAGCAAAGCTACAACTAGCAATAACAATCCAAAACCAGCAAAGCTATAACTAGCAATAACAATCCAAAATATAAGTATAGAAATTGAACAAAGGAAACAGAGACAAAGCTCGGCAAAACTCATGCTGCCCCAACTCATTTTGCAGTAACAATCACAATACAACACACAAAGGAAACATAGGCAAAGCAACGAGTTTTGGTTTTAGAATAGAAAAAACCAGGTTTCATTCAGTTGAGTTTTGGTTTCCCTTTGTTTGTTTTCTGTTCCCTCACCTACGACGAACGAGAACAGAACAGAACAGGGTACTTATAGAGGTGAGACGAGCTTCTCTTTGCGGCCGACACCCGAGTGACGAAGAGCTTCTCCGACTGCGTTGGAGCTTCAGTACAGAAAAGAGGCGGCCGACGAGCTTCGTATCTAACCTAGAATCATGGGATGGAGGAAGACGAAGAGGGAATTAAGGTTTGGGCTACGATTGATTATGAGAAACTGAGATCAAGAAGACTTACCACTGCCCACTAGAAGCCAAAACGCAGCGTTGAATTGTGGAGATCAAAACAACTCTGTGCTGTGATAATTCCGGCGGCTGATAAAAACGCCTAGGCCCCATTAATCGCGCCTAGGCCCCATTTGTCTCCTATTAGGTGTCCATTAATAGCTATTAGGCGCATTAAGCGCTTTTTACAGCGCTATTAACAAAAGCGAGGCGTTGCTTCAGCGCCTTGCGCTTTTTTTAGCCTAGGCGCACGCCTAGGCGCGCCTTCTTGAACGCTGATATCAACAAATAAGTCATCACCCACAGTAATCCATCCATCTGAATATGCAAATCAAGCATAAATAATCGATGCAATAATTAAGTTCCCCTTTATCCCCACACACCTTAATTTGGTCGATTCCAAGTCGGGAATTAAGTTCTAAAATATCAGTGGTTGTTCCCCAAAAGTCCTCCTCGTTTCTATGGTCCTGTAGGAGAAAACAATTTGTCATTTGGACGTCAAACGAAGAAACTGCGAGCTGATCATCATTAGTACGAAATCAGGGATTAATTCTTCATTTTCTGCTGTCCAAAATATGCAGAAAACTGGGGAGAGGGTCACTGGTTCAATTCCAGTAACATGCCACTTTATTTTTGCTTTAGTTTTTAGTGGTTGGGGAGTTCTCGATTGATTTAACGAATCCTACCTCATATGAGATAACTTCTAGATTTTTTCCCAGCCTCAAATCGTACAATTTACGTATGGTATGTGGAAGAAAAAAAATTATCCAAGGTTCGGGATGTTGCACATACCACAAGACAAGACTTGACTCGAGGATGTTGTTGATCCTCGTAAGCAAATAATGTCGAGACACTTTAGCATATTCAATAAATGTACCAGCCTTTGTGTTCGTCATAAGGAATATAAGATCGCTCGTATTTTCACATATTTGGAACATTGTGTGACTTTTATCAATCTTGATTTTAGGATTTTGCATCAATGATTCTCCTCTTTCAAATGATAAGTGTTTGTGCCACGTAACCTCTCGTCCAACCTCGCCGGGCTTCCCACTGATGATTTTCTTTGGGGCGCCTAGATCCTGCACCAATAAGCGCCTAATGGGCTATCAGATGCCCGTTAGCACTCCGACGCTCAAGTCAGTCACAAATCTAGAGAGATAAGTGACTGATAAAAGAGAGATTTTTAGTGAGAGAAGCCAACCTGCGTAAATGCCACCTACCGCGCACTATTTATACTAGGCGAGATCCCGACCAGACTCCTGGAGTTCAGCCCCACGTCAGCACACCATTAAATGCCCGGTACGGCCCAACGGTCGGGCGCTTCCACGTGGCGGCTCCTGGTATCCTCAGCCTGGGTGCCTATGGGGACCACCTGCCAGCTGGCACGCCCTCAGCTTCCAGCCGTTGGAGATGCCCGGTCCCCGCCCTAGTTTTGTCTTCATGCGCCTGCTCACCCCCTCATGGGCCTTACCTCTATTCCTGCATGCCCTAACTCTCTATTGGGCTTGGGCCCAGGCCCTACCTATAAGCCCACGTCCTCAATAGCCCCTTTATACTCACCCAACAATTGTCCCCCAGTTAGGCGCTCATGGCTTGTGATGAGCGTCTAACTATATATAACGTCTGGCAGTCCCTGTCCATTTATGGGCGGTTAAACCCACCCCACTGTGTTCCCATGACTGGCGCTGAACTCCTAATCACGCAAAATTTTACAGACTTTTGATAATAACGGGCGCCTAAGCCCAAGTTCTGGTTAGGCGCCTTTCTTCTCTACCCTACTGCTCTCTCTACCAATAATCACACAACATTTCTCAAACTTTTATCAGAAAGGGGCGCCTAGGCCTTTGTGTTTGGTTAGGCGCCTGGCTTCTCAACCAGATTGCTTTCTCTATCAACCAAACGCACAGTCCGGGTTTTTCTAAGCGCCCGCGCCCCTATATGTCTCCCTCTCCGTGCGTCTTGAAATTTGAATTTCAAAATTTGAAATTCAAATTCGAAATTCAAATTTCAAACGAATGGTGAGGATTAGATCTGGGTGTCGGGCGCGCATCTCCATATCAGCCCGTTGGGCTCCCTCCTCATATAAATAGCAAGGTCCGCCCCTCCCCTTCCTCTTTTGTGCGAATCCTCTCTCTCTAGCTTTATCTCTCTAAACCTACCTTCCTGTGCGCCTATCCTTCCTCACCATGCCGCAAAAATCTGGCTCGCGCGCCTCCTCTACCGAACCTCTGAAAGAAAAGGGCGCCGAACCCGACATAATATCTACGTTGGAGGGTCACTTTTCGCCCGACCCGCTACGCGAGAAGGGAGCATGGACTCCTGGCGCCCGGAATCAGGCGCCTGCTAATCGCGATGTCCCTCCCTCAGCAGGCGAGCAAGCAAGTGAGGGTGCGGCGCCTCTCATCCCTCAACCAGCATCATCAGACGCGACAGCCAACGCGTCGCCGGCGTCGTCACAACCCAATCCGAGTAAGCCCCCCCCCCCCTTTTTTTTACGCGTTCATAGCTTCCTAGGGCTTAGCATTGATTTGCCCATTTGCATCGAACCTTCTAGGCGCCTCCCCTGGATCCTTGCGCTCGTCCGCACCATCGAACTCTCCACCTTCTTCCAATGCAGGCGCCCAGGGGGGCGAATCCATTAAACTTCGGAGATGGGAAGACACCTGGCCATCGGGACAGGCGCCGGATGAGACAGACCATATGTCTCTTGACGAAGCAGGGCCTAACAAAACTTCCACTGTGAAGGAGATTGAATTGGAGAATATTGTCACATCATTAGAGTTGCCACGCTCTTGGTCCTATGCGTCTGCTCCGAGCACATCTAGGATTGGGGTAGTCGGACCCCGATGGCTAGGCATCTATCGGTAATATTTTTGCTTTGGGCTTCGGTTTCCCCTTGATTCCATCCTTGAAGGCATCTTAACCACTTGCCGATGTTCGATTGGGCGCCTGTCCCCCTCCGTTTTCCTTGTTCATATCCTTTTCAAACTGAAATGCCGTGAATATAACGTCGAGCCTACCTTCAACCTTTTTCACTATTTTTTCAACATGATTTATACCGATAATTGCCTATCATTACAAAGGCGCCTAGGTTTGCCCGGTCACTTTCTACGAGAGTGTCCAAAGTTGGGAAGGGAGTGGTTTAGGAGCTTCTTCTTTGTCAAGGCGCACAAGGATTCTTTCTATGAGAGTGGCGCCTCGTTTTCCAGGGGTTGGGTGATGGGTAATCATCAGTATTTCAACACCGATGTGACTCTGTCCACCGCCCCTGAAATTGAGGGCGCCCGGGCGTGTCATGCCCCTGATCAGGGTGATGTGGGAGCCCATACTGCAGGGATTCCGAATCTTCTCCCGCCCTTTCTCGCTTTCTTACCCCTGGGCTATACATCATCACATCCTCGCTCTGATCCCCTTCCAACTCCCTCCTGAGCGCCGCTATGGCTCGATCTTGATCTGCTATGATTTGGAACAGCTCTCTCTTCGTCAAGGATTCTCCCTCTTCAGTCGACAGGCGCCCAGGGCTCCCTTGACCTTCCACATCCATGCTCAACTCCTGACTCTGTTGGTGTTCCCCTTCCTCCTGGCTCGAGTTTCTCGACCTCGAATCATCCTCTCCCTCGACGCCTCCGTACATGTCTTCCATGCGCCCCCCTTCCTGGCGCGCCAATTGTTTGTGCCACGTAACCTCTCGTCCAACCTCGCCGGGCTTCCCACTGATGAACCTCTTCGGGGCGCCTAGATCCTGCACCAATAAGCGCCTAATGGGCTATCAGATGCCCGTTAGCACTCCGACGCTCAAGTCAGTCACAAATCTAGAGAGATAAGTGACTGATAAAAGAGAGATTTTTAGTGAGAGAAGCCAACCTGCGTAAATGCCACCTACCGCGCACTATTTATACTATGCGAGATCCCGACCAGACTCCTGGAGTTCAGCCCCACGTCAGCACACCATTAAATGCCCGGTACGGCCCAACGGTCGGGCGCTTCCACGTGGCGGCTCCTGGTCTCCTCAGCCTGAGCGCCTATGGGGACCACCTGCCAGCTGGCACGCCCTCAGCTTCCAGCCGTTGGAGATGCCCGGTCCCCGCCCTAGTTTTGTCTTCATGCGCCTGCTCACCC